TATCAAATAAAATTTTATTTAAATATTTTAAAATTTAAAAAAAGTAGATCATAAGCATATTTTTAATAATTTTCTAGGCAAATTTGCCTGGAAAAGCCTACAAATTAAAGGATAGAATTAAAAAATATTAATAAGTTATTGAAACTAGTATTATACTGCTAAGATTTTCACTTTTAAAAATCCATATTCATAGATTTTTACATGTTATACTAGTTAAATATTTATTGAGAAATATTGGCTTAAAGTTTAAAATACCTCTAAATTTTAAAAGGATCTTTATACAACCATCCTCCTGACGTATTCTGACATAATAAAATAGATAAATATAACAGTTTTTTTATTTATAACAAAATAAAAAAAAACATAGTACGTACAAACCAAAACTGTAAAAATTTGAAATTTACATTAATTCACATCCACAATGACATTAACCAAAAAATTTATTCGTTTATTAAGATTATGCTAACAAACAAACGTATAAAAGACATTTTTTATTTGTAATCAAAATTGCCCACAATCGCATCTGCTCCAAACTTACTTAATATCCAGCAATAATAAAATTCCGGGAATTTTAAATCCAAATCACATGGGTCGTTCTACTAATCATTATTACATGACAGAATTACACTATGCATTATCGGTGAAACGTTGTTAGGAAACGATTTTTAGGAAGAAACCCTGACAGGTATTTGTAAGAGAAATATCCCGATTTTTTTTATTATGTATAAATATATATCGGTAAAGTATTTTAATAGCTTTTAAGCATAACCGGGATATTACCCTTTAATAACAACTAGGGTAGTTACTACAGCAATTTATAAATTACATTAAAGTTTTTTACAATTTAAAAAAACTATTTCAATGGCTTAGAAAAATCATCGTCACGTTCATTAATTTTCTCAGTTTCATTACTTCCATTATACTTGTAAACGTAAAATTTTATAAATTAATATAGTATATGTAGTAAATGTAAAATGATATATACTGTATCGTCGCGAAATAACGTCCCGGAACGTTATTTAGAGTACATTGCTTGAAGAGAGCTAATAATTAATTTAGCCAAAGACTTTTCATAACCAAAAATTACGATTTTCATTCGTTTACATTAATAATTAGTTCTTTTCAAGCAATGTGTCTTAAAATAACGCCCTGGGGCGTTATTTCACGACGATATATATATAAATCTTTTGTATACCAGGCGGTGCTATAAGTTTTGCAATGTTAACTAATTGCTGCACATTTTATGACCTATACATATTGTATGCTTCTACTGTGCGATGTTTGGTGGCCCCATTCCAGCTTGAATATATATACCGACGTCATTCAAGTTTTGAGCTGTATGTTTGCGAAGGAAATAGGTTACAATCCTCCTATCAGCACAATTAATACCTATAATGGAACAAATTTCCTTCATAAAACTGGATAACTTATCACGACCTACATGACGGTTTAAAATCAGAAGCTTTTATAAAAGAATGTTTCATTTTTATAAAAGAGAAAAGGAAGTTGAATTATATATTTGAATTATCAATTTAATATCATTTTATATAAGTTTAATACGTATGAGCTAATGACGTATTTTTTTCATGTGAGAGGTCAGGGTATTAATTAATAATAATTTCGGTCACTGTGTGTTAGTAGATTGATCTCAGAAAGTTGATAACGGAAATACATGACTGTCTGAGATCAATCCATTAATACCCAACGACCCAAGATATTATTATTACCAATCACGTTCAGGTTGAGTAGATTAACATATAAATTTATGTAACCGGAATGTACCTGTACATATGTATGTACGTATTTAATCATAAGTAAATATTTCAAGAAATTTTCTGTGTCATACTAAAGTATAAACTATCTTCAGACACTAATAGATGTCTATGTTTTATCTAACATTCAAGGAGAAATAAAAGGATTATGAAAAAAAGTCATTCATTTAACAAGAATTTAGAATGCTAGCTAAAATGGATATTCTTAACGTTAAATATCAAATAATAATTAACCTAAAATGGTATAACATTTCCAATTAAATAAATTGAAATCCCAAAGAAACAGAATTTGCGAAATGAGTAATTGGTTATTATATAAAAGAAAAAAAAAGTTTCGAATTTTTTAGTCTCGAACCTCAACTTAAATACAACCTAGTCTCAATAAGTAAATGGAAATAATTTTATTATTGTAAATTGTAAATCTAGAATTTAGCACATCTATAATGTTAACATTAATGATATACATATATAGATACGTATATACAAAATAACTGAAATACGTGATCAGGCCACTTAAGATCTAACAAATTAGGGAGCTACTTTTTTAATACATAATAGAATCCAATTATTTCAATGAAATTTAAGGAAATCATGTGTTAAAACATTATTAATTTACTTGATAAAAAGTTATTCCACCTGAAAAGTTGATCCGAGAACCAAAGTTTGTTACACATATTTTGATATTTTTTAACTAGTACCCGTTACTCTAACTATTATTACTTTAAATAACTTTGGTATGTCCGTATGAAAAAGATATTTTAAGATATATTATGTGTAATGAAAGATACTGATACATGCCTATCTTTATTATTGCAATACGAATGTAAATCTTTTTTGTTATCGCAATGTGAATGTCTATCTTTTATTATCGTATTGGTATTGCTGTATTGACGTATTGATGTATTGAATGTCAATCTTTTATTATCGTATCGTATCGCAATGCAAGTGATACTTGCATATTCTGAATAGGACGTACAGTACGTACGTACGTACATACATACGCATACGCATATGTACATATGTACGGACGTACGTGCTTTGATTGTAACAATTTCGTTATTTTGCTTGTTTGTTTATTTTATCGATACGTATTAAATTGGGATATGAACTCGATTGTCCTTGCGTTTTATATTCGGATAGGTTCGTTGTCGCATTTATTATTGATGGCTATGAAAATCAAGAAAACTTTATTGAAGTTTATGATACGATACGATGTATTTCCGTAATATACACAGAGTATATTTCCGTAATTTACACAGTATACTTCTGTAATATATAGAGTATATTTCCGTAATATACACGATATACTTTTGTAATGTATAGAGTATATTTCTGGAATTATACACTATACGTATTAATTATCGTTATTGTAGTTATATCTATCGTTATGAGTAAAGCAAATTTTCGACATGGCTGGTAGATTTTTTTATAAATGTCGGAAATTACCGTAATAGCGATAGCGACTGAACTGATATCAAAGGTTTTTTTGGTTTAACGATATATTTAATGCATTAAAGATTTTTGGTCTAGCTGGGCCGGTTGTAAAATTTTGACCACTAGACTATTAATTATATACATAACATACTGTATTAAATATATCATTATTATGCAAGTAATTAACACTAAAACTATATTTATAATTATGATTGTTTGATCTTATCGTTATTTAATAAAGTTATTTATCCAAATAAAGCCAGTTCCAAATAAGCTCTGTTTTTTTAAAAAAAAAATAAACTTATAATATCACAACATCATTATATGTTAGAGTATTTGAAATTTTTACATTGTGTTTTACATTGTGAGAAAAAATAAGGCATGAAAATTTGTGATTAGAGAAACACAACTATAATACGATAATTCATTAAATTTTATAGAGCATCTAGATCTTATAGCATTCAATTCAAGCATCTAGATTTTCTCAATGAAAATTCCGAGTTATCTAATTATAAATCCAAGAACCTCCTGTGTTTGTTTTTATATAATTTAAATAATAACTATAGTTGATTCTCAATTATTAGTACCAAATGTCAATTGAATTTATAATTGTATTAATTAAATTATATAATTGCATTAATTAAAATTATATAACTCATTTATTAAATTGCATTAATTAAAATTATATAAGGTATGTTTTAATTGCATGAATTGATTTTTTTTTTTTTGATTCAATAAGCATTTATTATATATTCTTTATAAATATATTCCTTATAAAATTACTTTATTAGTAAATCGGAAATTCGTAACCAACTTTAAGAAGTCAGTAACATAAAATTTTTAATTGGAAAATCATCAGCAATTTGGCATCACCTTTTTAAAGATAGTGGAATTTAATAAAATTTGTATAACATTATGGTATGGGCTAGTGCTCCATGTACTGTATGTTAATCTTAACGCGTGAAGAACAATACGTACATCGAGATGACCTTTCTATATATGCGTATAAACAAAGATTTTCTTAAAGTTGAATATCTCTTTGATCATGTCCGTAATGGAAAAATTAGGCATAAATAAGTTCTGTTTGATAAATTTGTAACTATGAAAATGCTTGTCGCATCTATAGGCGCATTTATCGTTATGTTACCTGAATTACTGTATAACTAGACTGCCAATTACTAACTGACCACTACATATCAAAAAACTACATATCAAAAAATTGTTCAATCTTATTTTATATTCACGCGATCGAATGAAAATTCGGAGTACTTATTCTGTGTTATTGGTTGTGTCGGAGATTTACCAGAAATTGGCAATCGAATAAAGTTAGTCACTAAAACTTTATATGTTGGTTGCACTAACACTAAACAGCTGTGATAGACATTATTTACCTTATTGTATTGGTATGATTCTATAAAAAAAAAATAGAAGTGCAATCCCATGATTATCAATTGAATTTTTTTTTTCTCTTGATACAAACAACTTTCGAATATAAAGAATCTCTTTAGACGATATTCGAATAAAAAAAAAAAAAAAAAAGAAAAAAAAAAAATATATATACATATATTTTTTACCATTCCAGACATTCCAGAAATTTTATTTTAAAAAATTCAATTCATAAATAATCCTTTAAAATCCGGAAATTTTCTAATTTTTCCGATCCGAAATTTTATCTAAAAAAATGGGAAAGCCATTTTCAAAATCTATTTCGAATTATCAAGAAACATTTCCGTTAACAGAAGAAGAAAAAGAAATTTTACATACAAGACATCATCTTACAAGAGAAATTTTTAAAGGAAATTTCAGCTCTCCGGTACATAATGAACTTCAAAGAGGATGGGCTAAAGTCTTGGACGTTGGGTAAGTTTTTTTTCATAATGATGTAAAATATGTATTATAGATAATTTATAAATTTTATTTTTGTTCAATTAGATGTGATGTAGGAACTTGGTTATTCGAATTATCTGCTGACTATCCAGGATGTACTTACATCGGTACATATACATCTCCATATTCAAGTTTAGCAACCGTTGGTAGACCTTTTGATGTTGAATTTATAGAAGCAGATCCCGTTCGTGGTCTACCATTTAAAGGTATTTAAATTTAGTTTTATAAATCTGCTTTTAGTATCAAAGGGACGTTTATTAAATTCGCATGCCTTTTAAAAGACGAAACTTTTGATTTTGTGAGTATGAAAAATCGTTCGATAGATTATAATGAAACTGAATGGAAAAATATTATGAATGTATGTTTTTTTTTTTTTTTTTTTATTAAAGTGTTTATTAAGAGTACTTTTCACTCACACATGTTTTTTAACATAATTAGGAGTTAGTCAGGGTATTGAAACCTGGTGGATGGCTAGAGGTATGACTTATATTTATCTATTTATTATTCTCTCAGCATTTTTTTTTTTAAATAAATGTATAATTTCTAATATAATAGTTGTCGGATTATGACTATTCTTGGGGAAAAAAAGGTCCCACCACCGAAAAATTGTTGAATCTATGTATGCTTGTTAAATTTATGCTTTTTTTTCCTGTTTTAATTATTTAATTAATTACCTGTTCTAACCAACCATTATAACCTGTTTTGATTACCTGTCTTCATTACTCGTTTCGTTACCTGTTTTAATTACCTGTTGTAATACATTCCTGGTTGCCCTATCAACACCTATCAACACGAATTCAGTTTCAAGCCACCTTCGTCTAACACATATCGGCCAATTCAAGGATTATATGCATATGACATCTGAGCTTCGTAAGATTCAACACGAGATACAATATCTTCCTTTAGGTCCATTTGCTGGTAGATTTGGTGAAACTTCTGCGCAATTTGCAAAAGACACTTTAAAAGCTTTTCTACCAAAATTAGCAAATTATTTTGGAGTTAGAATAGATGATATTGATTCGATTATCAGTACAATACTTGAGGAAGCTGAAGAGAACCAAAGTCATGTTAGATTTCACAGATTTTTTGCTCAGAAAGAAACTGTGTTGGATTTAACATCTTGATTTTTTTTTTTTTGTTGGTTTTTACTTTGAATTTGGTGAAATAATGTGAATAACGAATGATGTTATATATGTATTAGTAGTCTTTTATTTGTTGAATTTTTGTAAATTTGTCCTTTCCAACTTTTCTTTTAATAATGTTAATATTCACATAAAACTTGATTAGCTTGGAATGACTTCATTCATGTAAAAATAATAGTTTTACACATTTTACGTACTTTTTTTGGGGGGGATTGACTTGTAAAAGTCACATTTAATTTTGTAAAGTCGATATATGTATGTACATACGTTACGTACAAGTTAATTCTGATAAAGATAATACTTGTCAAATTGTACTATGAAAAAAAATTTATGATTAAAGAAATTTTAGTATTGTCCGAAGATGTACCTTTGCTAGATTATAAACTTGCCATACATTTCATATATCGTACATCATATGCTTATAGATCGATCTTACGAAGTGGATGTAAAGATAAGTCACTATCTTGCACCAAGGTAAATTCCATCTATATATAATTCTTTGTATTTTTTAGCTTTTATTTTACTACCTTCGAGTATTAATTTTACTACCTTCGAGTATTAATTTTACTACCTTCGAGTATTAATTTTACTACCCTCTAGTATTAATTTTAATATCTAAAACAAATTACGTGAACTTAACAGAACATATGTACTATGTTAGTGTCAAAATTCCTTTATTATAATTATAATAACTTAGAATCTTTTAAATTTTAACTTGAAGATTCTATGTAGGGTTGACTTGTAATTTCTTAGAAATATTTTATATTATGGTATATAATCAATGATATATATAAAAATGTACTAAGTACAACACTAGATTTGCACTAGACTTTAATCTTAACATTAACTTATTCTGACATTCGTTCTTGCAACATGGACGAAAATGATCGATAATTACTTTCTGGAAAACATAACAGATAAAGAGAAAATGGCGAGATTATCATAAGACATTTAAGTTTTTGTAAAGTCTTATATAAGGATGGACATGACTTAAGTCGAACCTTGAGCAAGTCGAGTCGACTCAAATCGTAATTCGTCAAATAGTAACTGCATATAGTACGTTTATGCTATGAAAGAAGTGTTATCAGTATGGTGCAGAAACGATAATACGAATTCCATTATCGTTATTTGCCTTGCGCGAGATAAACCTAGCAAGATATTTCATATATTGCATGACTTACATGAGATGCTTATAGATCTCCCAAAAAACAAAATTTGTAGAAATTTATTAATACATCAAATTTACTTTGCGAATGAATCATACGTACGTATGAAGGAATAACTTTATTAGTAATACGAATGATATTCAACATATGATTTGTCATCAGAAATTAGATCAAGTATATCAACAACGTAACTTTTGCTATCTGTTTTATTCCTAAAATAACAAAAATAACGATAACGATAAATCATTTCAAGTGTACAGTACATACTTCCATAGGTCCAAAGTTTCTTTCTCAAAATTTATGTTACAATGACCGATTATCCTGGATATATTTACGCTGCTGTAAATATTTTTTTTGGTTTTCTAATAATTTTAAAACTTGGTTTTATTCATATAATTATTTTATTACGATACAGACTATCGCCTTGGGAGGAATTTTTGGTTATGCAAAAGCAGGTATTATACATTACGTGTAGTCGCGTGGTTGAAAAAAAAAAAAAACTTGTTTTTTCTTTAACCATTCATTTTTAGGGAGTATACCTTCTTTGTTTTTCGGTTTAACTTTTGGCGGGTTGGCGGTGAGAATTTCACCAGTTTTCTTTTTTTTTTTCATTATCATATCGAAATAACATTCAATTTCTAAACATTAAATTTTCAGGCATATACTGCAAATCGAGTTAGTGTTAGTCCAAAGAATGCGATTATGGCATGCCGTATGTAATAATTTAATAGTTTTTTTTTATATTATATATATTTTATTTCCACTATAACCTGGTTCAATTGTTAAATATTTAGTCGTATCATTAGTGTTGTTTGCTGTAATGGGGTTTCGTTACTATAAAAGTGGGAAATTTATGCCGGCTGGCCTCGTCACCACTCTTAGGTAAGTTATTAACGACTTATTATAAAATATTTAATAATAATAATAATGATAAATAATAATAATAATACTTTTTCATATTTTTAGCTTGATCTTTGCTCTTCGTTACGCATATCGATATGCACTTCAAGTTTAAAAAAATTTTTATGTACAATAGTAGGATAAGATGCATGAAATAATATATATTTTTTATAATAATCTAATATTTTGTATTGTTATTTGAAATACATTGCCTAAAATACATATATATTAAATGAGTTTGGCAACAAAATATCAGTTTTTATTTATTTTTTTTATTTTTCTCGAATGTCAACTTCTTCCCCAGCAATAAAACACCTCATAACCCTAAGATCATCATCTAGGAATACCAAATCTGCATCAGCTCCAATATTCAAAGTTCCTTTAATATTTTGAATTCCTAATAATTCTGCTGGATGCAACGTTGCTGCTTCAACAGCTTCAATAATTGAGCATCCTGTGAATTCTCTAAAATTCCTAACACACGCATCTATAGTAATTACTGACCCAGCAAGTCGTCCATTATCAATGACTTCAACTCGTTCATCACCGATTTTACGTACCGGAATATCACCCAAAGTATAATCTCCTGGTGGCAATCCCATAGCTGCCATAGCATCAGTAACAAGGACTGCACCCTCCGGGTGAGAATCGTAGGCCATTTTAATAGAATTTTGGTGCACATGGATACCATCACAGATGATGCCATAATATGGTCGTGGGACGCGTTTTGTACCAAGTAGACCAATTATGCCAGGATCACGGTGATGGAACTATGATATTGTGAACCAAGGTTTTTTTTTTATACATATATATATTCGCGAGAAACTTTTAATTTGCAACTTTTTGTTTACCTGTTGCATAGCATTAAACAAATGTGTAATAAATCTTGCCTATACATAGAATAATAATAATAATCATGAGTAAACGAAAGGTATGTTATACTGATAATGTAGATATAATGAATATATTATACTTACTCCTTTTTCGACAGCTAATTCCGCTTGAGCCACAGTAGCAGAAGAATGACCTAGACAAATCAGTTTATTATTTATTAAGTGACACTCATTAAAGTTGGTTGATAACGATCATAAAATTGAGAAAGCATACCTAAACTGACTGTAATATGAGCACGAACCAGATCTTCCAAACTATCCGAAACACCTTCTACTTCCGGTGCTACAGTTACGATCTTAACTATTTGATCTTTTTGATCTTTTCCTTCATTTAATCCATAAACTTTTACAAAATCTGAGAAACCACCAGATGCAGAACGAAGATGAGATTCTTCATGGGCGCCACATTTACTTGGCTCAATAAACGGACCTTCGACGTGAACACCTTTACAATAATAGGTATAACTACTCTATGAAAATAAATGTATTAATGTTTTAAAGGATCATTTTTTAATAGTTACCTAAGATTTCAGCCCCATTGGTCTTATTTCCTTTACGAGGTTTAAGAAATGGGAGAACCTATATTAATTTATTAGCTAATTTATTAAAGTATTTAAAATATTATTAATCAAAAAAATTTTATAAATGATAAAGTACCTTTTGATATACTTCTATCCCTGAACTAATAATTGTTGGAACAAAACTAGTACAGCCGTATTTTAATAAACCTTTTGCAACATTATCAATTCCTTTCCTCATTTTTTCTTCACTTTGCATTTGAGAAAAGTCCACACCAAAGGCTCCATTTATTTGTACATCGATGAATCCTGGAGCTACTAATAATCCTTTAGCATCGATTACAACATCAGGTAAATCACCAAAAGTAAAAAAGTAAGTTTGAGGATCGATGATTTTTCCGTTATATAAATAAAGTACGTCGTCGTCTATTATTTTATGATTTCGAATCAACCGTGCATTTACAATTTTTACAAGGCAAGAACAGTTATGATCCTTGTCTCTTTGAAGTTTAGAAACAACTTGGTTAACTTGAGAAGGCATTTTTTATTATCTCTATTGTTTTTAGGTTTTTGATTTTTTTAAATTATAATAAAGTTTTCTAAACGCTAAACCGCGCGCAGTTTTGATAGTATTTGTTAAAGCGTGTTTAGTGTAACGATCCCTTTCCCTTTTTTTTCAATTATAAAGCCATGCACGCGTCTATCATCTGACTTTTGGTTAGTACGAGACAACATAAGAGATTTACTACGTATATTTACTACACTTTTTATATACGTATAAGAAAATAATACGTACTAAGAGGTGTCAAATTTTAATAAGCCCACTTTACTTTTTTTATATGTACATAAAAAAATGCCAAAATTTATAATAAAATTTTTGATTGGTTAATTTATGTGATTAAATAACGCCAAATTTTTTTTTAACGTATCGGTATATATTATCGTCATTTAAGTTATACGTACGGACTCCTCAAGAATATTTAAAATTTTACAAAAAAAAAAAAAAAATTCATAATATTATAGTTCTAGATAAGTAGATAAATTCTACGTTACAAAGTTACTTTTTTTTTGCAAATTTAGACATATATCCATCGAGGAGATATAATTTTTTTTAAAAAACATAATGTAATTTTAATGTGGCTTTACATGACGAAAGTAATCATATCATCGCCATATAAGGATAGATTACACAAATTGTTCATCTATGCGTAATTGCAAAAAAAAGTTACCAATTACATAATTCTAGAACAAATGAAATTTGCTTTTTTCTAGAATTTCTGTTTACGCAGTAGGCATTTATTTTACATATAACATTTGCTGATAAAGGTTATACCGATGAAACGTTTATCTTCATCATAGGATTGGAAATGTTGTGTATGAACATAATGCATTTAAAAATCGAATGAACCAGAAATCGATAATACAGTAATAATTGTCAAAGTGGAATTGGTAATGATGTAGATAGGCATAAGACATTTAATCATTAAAGTCAGTCGTAAATATTCATGAACTTGAAACGATTATTTTTAAATATTTAGGTTAATAAACGCTCTGACATTTATCTTCTAAATTAATAAAATTAATAATAAAATTCATAAAATTGAATCGATTATTTGAATACTTAGATTAAACTAATTTAGTAAAGAGTAAATATTCATGAACTTGAGTCAATTCTCAAAAGAAAAAAATTTGAAAGGGTGTAAAGAGAGGTGTATATATAAAAACTCAGAATGTTATTCTCTTGCCGTTAGAAGAGATTTATAAAGTAAGAACTACCTTCAATGTCTTAGACCATAAACGATTTCTTTAATGCGAAAACGAATATTGTTTTTATTCGACAAGAAGATCAAATTTTCAGCCCGGTTGCACTGCACACTTGTGAAAGGATGCCATGGGCAACACATCTATTTTCGCGAGCATATCTTCGCACGACGGTCTCATGTGCGAAAATGATAATGTTGTCTAAAAAATTTAAATTCATTAATGAAAAAAAATTAGATTATTAATATATATTTATCTAATATTTAAAATAGCATAAAAACAATAATTAACTTACTTATCGAGCCTTGACGTGTATAATTCTTGCATTGAATTACAATGGTAATCCCGACGATTCGGCATATAATATCTTCACCCTCATCATGAGATACACTATAAAAAAAAAAAAAAAAAAAAAAAGTATTTGCGTTATTATCATCAACCAACAAAGAAAAGATGCATGACCGGAATTGTCACAGTCACGTTTCAATGTCAGAGTGTATCCTATTCACAGCAAGTACACTTTTCAATACAGAAAATGGTTCTCTAACACAGAGAAAGCCAATTAAGCTACAGGAACATCCATAACTAATAGAAAAGAACATTCAATCATCGAAATATTCGGTCATTTCAATTCTCTATCAGGTTTCATTACACAGATGTGGCAGCGTAACTTCAGATACACTTTGAACTTGACAAATAATCAATGAGAAAACTCACCTCGTGTGTGCTAATTCCATATCTGCCCGTTGAAGAATGATGCCCATGCTTTTCAACACTTCGATAATATCCCACTCGAGGATTTTTCCTCTCATAACGGTGAAATATGTTACGAGAACACGAACAACTTTTCTTTCTGTATTTGACATGTTTGTAAAGAAACTTTTTAGAAAAAAGTCAACGGATCGAAAAAGCACTAAGAAGGGATAATATTCCCATGAAATAGCATAACCAATCCAGTATAATTCAAGTTGACAGGAGGTGAATGTGATTTAAAATGACTTTTCCGCATACGGTAATCCTAGCTTGATAAAGAACAACTTCGTATGAGAAAAAAGCCGACCCAGGTGAAACACAATCATTGTTATTTCCGGGAGCATATCCTGATTGAAATTAGTGGCTTAACCTATCATAAATTACGGACATGCAGTTTTCATAGTGAATGCCCCGATTGTCGTATTATATTTGGCATTTGATTTCTAATTTTCCCATTGAATTTAACTATCTATTGAAACTTCAGCCAGTTATCATAAAAGAAATTGTTTTTGTACTTTTCTGAATTATGTTTTAAGATAATGTATGGTATATAAACTGGTAGCTCATCAAAATAAATTTCTTAAATATCAAGTAAAGAGCCAACTCTAAGAATAATATGTGCCAAATAGCAGTTATTTTATGCATATATTACTGAAATTCGTTATTTATAATGACAAATTTAAATTCTATATAGCGATATTACCCGGGTAAAATATTTATACAGTTTAAAATATTTTTTGAGAATGTAACGTTTTACTAATAAAAAATCACCATAAAGACCATTCTACCTTCGAAAGAACGCTTATATTTATTGTGCAAAATAATCAAGAACTTCACTTAGAAGCAAGTATTCCGTTATTTATATAAATTTATTTAGTAATGTTTAATTCTTGCTACGTATTTTCTAAACTTTTGATTATCTTATATAATTGATATATTTTTTTTAGTATTCATGACTCCTCTTTGTAGTACTTGTATATTAAATATGTAGTTACAATTAATTACTTATGTATATTTATTCGGATTTTAATACAAAAAAATATTCACATTGGAAAAATTTAAACAACGATTAATTAAATATAAATTAAATGTGTATAAATTAAAGATTAACCAAATATAGATTAAATACGCAGTTAGTTATTTTTATCAATTAATACTTTCTCATATTTATCTGATTCGTTTGATAATTTATTCAATTAACTAAATTAAAAAAAAAAATAAACAAAATTTTTTTTTCTTTTGCATTTGCTAAATATTTTTTAACTAATTTTATATCATTTTATACACGATTGACTAATTTAAAACAGGTTTTTGACTATTTAGAGAATCTAGTTGTAAAGTTAGATTCTGAGCTTTAATTATGATGTAAAAGCATGACTGAAGTTCTAATGTTACACAAAATTGAATATGTAAAGAATATATAAAAGCATATAGAATTGGTGTTACGAGAAAATGCACTAGAAATTTACCGTTTTCTATAAAATTTTACCAGTCTATTTCTTAGTAGCTTCGCGAGCAAACTGCGGTGACCATCTCTAAGATCCGTAATGTGTGCAAGTTTTCATAAGTTTTCATACAATAAATGATCTTCAAATTTAATCTTTGAGTGCGTGAGAGTGAAAACCTGGAAACCGATTTAATGATTTACTATGATCGGTTTCCAGGTTTCACTCTCACGCACTCATTTATATAAAACTAATTTTAAATCTGACTAACTAGAGTTACAACTTTAGTTCGGTATTAGATAGAAATCAAAATAGTATTTACTAGGCTTCGAAAGATGTCTTTAATTGGCCACATAATCGAATAAAAAATGTCATGTGTTTATTAACATCAACCATCCCAAAAGATTCTTAATAATAAAATATTTATTTTTTATTTAATTTCATTTTGGTAGCAAGCAAGATTGTTTGTTCTACTGTTAATCCATTATGCGATTCAATCAACTTTATTTAACAAATTTGATTAATTTTTTAGTTTGATACAATTAACTAAAAGGAAACATCTATTTTAAATTTTGATTATTATCTCAAATTAAATAGAAATTTCAATTTTCAGACCTAAATTATGTTATAATATCATAATTTATAAAATAAGTTTTAGCCTAATTTTAACTTTATCACAAATCAATTTGATTTATTTCAATTATAAGTTTAGACAAAATTTCTAATAATTTATCAGTTTTTTTAAAATTATTCTTCTCTTTACCTTCTGTGTTATCATCAACAGTATTGTCACTATTAACAAGATTTTTCAAAATAAACATGTTTATTTCTTTTTTTCTTTTTTTTTACAAATGATTCAGTGTTTTTAAAATTTTTTATAGAACTTCTTACAATAGATGCACCTTCTGCTATAACAAATTGGATAATATGTATGATTACAAATTAATACAACTCTATTGTTATTAATAAAAAAAGTTTATAAATATTATATAACCCAAGTAATAATAAATAAGTTATATTATATGTTGTCAGTAAGTATTATTTTTTTCTAAAGTTACAAAATAATAATTGTCTAATAATTTTTTTGATAATCTTTTTGATTATTTTTTTGGTTACTTTTTTAACAATCTTTTTGGCATTCTTTTTGTTAGGTTTTTATTAGTATTTTTATTAGTCTTTTTTTTGATCTTTTTGTTAATTTTTTATTAATCTATTTATTAGTTCTTTTATTGATCTTTTGCTGATTTTTTTATTAATATTTTTATTAATACTTTTATTAGTATTTTTATTGATTCCTTTATTAGCATTTTTATTAGTTTTTTTATTAGTTCTTCTATTATTTTTTAGCTTATTTTGTAAAAATATTGTATTAAAAAATCCAGTTTTGTTATATAAAAATTCAAGTACTATAACATTATATAAATATTGCTATGCTTTATAATAAGCATTCTTAAATGCAAAATTATAATTTACTAGATTAATAAAATAAAATATTTTATAATTGTATTTTTTTAAAATTAAAATATTTAAAATTGGCATTACTAGTAATGTAAGCCTGCTTTAAAATACTATTACTGTTGTATTTAAAGAAGTATTTGCTTAGATTTAACTATATATTTCTATATAATAATTATTAAAAATTGACTAAAATAATTTTAATATATTATAAAAAAGATGATTAATATTCTTTTAATAAAATAAGTCAATTAAAAATGTAAAAAATACTTTATTGTAATTCTTTTGTTTTTAATATAATATAAAGATTTAAAATTAAAAGACTGCTTTCATATAGTTATTAAATAAAATAAAGTTGTATAAATATTAAGTATTATTATAATTAAGTAAATTAATAATAGTCTAATACTTAATATATTTGCAAATTTGTTTAAATTTTTTTTATACCTTTTTTGACTTCAATCTATCTATTTTGTACAAAATCTACTAAAAAATTTATTCTTTATAAACAAAAATTTTTTATTAATTTTTTATAATGTTCAAATACAAGATAAATAAGTTTTTTTTAAAAAAAATAATATTTGTTTATAACTATTTAATGATAAATAAAATAGCTATAATATAAATAAAAATAATGCAATTTTACAAATTAACTTTTTAGCATATAATATTTTTTTAATATATATCTAGTTGCATCAGTTAGTAATAACTAATACAACTAGTTAATTTAAATTACTGTTAATTAATAAATGTATTTTAATGTATAAAAATAATCTTAAAAAGAATACAAATTTTATTTACTAAATTTAACTAATTGAATTCTTTTTATAAATTGTTTTTTTTATAATAATATATATATTTTTTCTTAAACAGTCATACTAGTATTTTATTAAGATTTTGAAATTACATTTGCAATTATATAAATATTCTTAACATCTAAGTTTAGCATTACCTAGCCACTCTACTGGTACCTAAGTGCAACTTGCTACATTACTTCAAGCAGAAGTAAGCTGCTTGTCTAACTACTTAAAGTCTATAATTAAAGATTTTTTCTTTTTTATAACAAGCTTTAAAATTGTTTTTTGTGCTTCTTTTTTAATTTGTTTTTCTTTTTCTTTTACACTTTCTTTTTTTTCTTTTATTTTTTGCTAATTTGGTTTTTCTTTTTTGTTAGATGCTCATCTTTTTTTTCTTTTTTTTTTTTTATTCTATTTATTATTCCTTTATTTTTCTTTTATTCATTGATTTTCTTATATCGAATTCTCTATACTTGTTTGTAAAATATATTCTAGACTGTTTTTGCTATTATGTTTATAAACTATTGTCTTAATTTTGTGCTTAAGAGCTGCCTTAATCTGTTCTGTGTTTCTTTCAAAATAAGATCTTTAATTAGTGTTTCTTTTATTTTAACTTTTTCTGTTTGTTTTTCCAAAAAGTGTTATATATAGTATATATAAAGGGACCTAAACTTTTTCATCATCATTTAACTGGGATGTGGGTTCCATAGCTTAGCGGTTAAGCTCCCATACCCTCCACAGTCAAGGTCAATGGTTCAAGTCCGGCTGGAGGCAAAATTGA